CCATTCAAGCCGTCTCCAGCCATTATTATATTAAAGTTTTTCTTCATTATCCATTCAAGCCGTCTCCAGCCCTCATTAATACTAGTCTAACGAGTTATCGAACTAATCACCCAAGTGTGAAAATGAACGTGACAAGCCTTGTGATCAAGCTTACGAACGTGCATGAGAATACTTGAAGGGCGGGATTAGCATAGTTCAAAGTCGGCTGCATTATGTTCGTCTAAAAGTTGTATTAAGAATTTGAAACATTGTAGGAATAAAGACGTATTCAGACACTATATTATGGGGTGATTTATTCAATGGCCACTTTCACGATACTTTCTCTTTCAAACGTTTAAGCAGTATATAATAATAATTAGATGGCAAAAACAAATTCGTTTTGGTAAACAATACAAATGGCATTAGTCATCATAATTCCAAACGTGGTAATATGTTGGAATTGATGATAATTGCAATAAAATGTAAATTACGATACGGTTATCTATTTGGAATTAGGAAGGAAAAGTTCGGTAATATAAATACTTTTTCTCGTATTCTGTAAGTAACTTTCACAGAAGTTGCGATAGATAAAGATACTTGAAGTATATATTTCGTAATATAACTCACTATCAATATCACTTTGATTTTTCTCAATACTTTACGACACTTAAATAGACAAATTGGCAGTGTTCATTTAGACGTATTAAATTAATTTTAGTAATATTAAACTCCTAAAGTCGTTATTTTTTTCTATTGAAGGCGTCCCCGATTCCCGTTTAATTGCCTCAAAATCGTGCCCCGAACCTTGGGACTGTGAGTGCGTTATAAGAATAACAATCAAACCTCACCTTTCAATTAGGATGGTTCAAGAGTTGGGTGCTATTGAATAGCTGTTTTCTCTCTAGTTCATCAGTTCCAAATTAGGGAAGGATAGAGAAGAATGATCACGTGTAGCTTTGCGCGAATATCCGTAATAAACAAATAAACGTTTCGAAAGTAAATGAAATTTCTTAATACTTGATCGATCATAAAGCTGAATTCGGAAGATACAAAACTTTCGGTCCAAACTAGTCGCATGTATGTGGGCTTCAGGCTAATTGGGTTTTGTTTTCATTTTTATACAACCCATATGACTTGTATAAAAATGTATCAAACATATTTGGTGCAAGAAATTAAACAGAGGCCACGACAATTACAAAAACGTTTACCATATTTTTTAAAATATCTTCAGACTAATTCAAACATTAGACCAAGTAAGGTAAATAACGAGAAACAAGCAAGTTTAATGAGACACGTAAAGGCAGATTAATAATAATGTTACGACAGCGGAAGTCACGTGACGCTGGTAACAGGTCATGAGTTTCTAGAAGAATCATCACTGTTCCTGGCAACTCTAGTCTTTTCCAGGCGCCCTCTATTTTAGTATATAAGCCCGCCCAAATAAGCGGAGATATAATGGCAGATAGGGAGATATAGAGACAGATAATCGAGTCAAGTGAGCGGCAGTGACCGTAAGTAAAGGGCGTGAATCGTCGTGAATTATAGCGTGTGTTGAAGTTAAAGTGACTGTGGAAATTAAGTGTATTGCACAGTTGTATTGAGAAAGAATAAACTAGTTTTATTCAAGAAAGGACTTGTATCGCTGAAGTTCTTCGGAAATAATTTTTACGGGAATTAACAAACGACCAGAGACGTAACAATAATAAGGTAAGACAAGTGATACTTGACGTTTTTAACCGTTGTAGATTTAATTTGATGCGTAACATTAAAATTGTGAGAAAAAAAAAGTGATAGAAATTTAACTTTTCTGTTGCAATCTGCGGATGCGATGTGGTAGGCAAGTTTGTATTTTCTATTCCACGGAAACATTAGAATAATAATTTTATAAATGGCGTATTTTATTACAAAAAAACAATTAATTGAATTATTGAAAAATAAATACACCCTCTAGACGTTTGACAATAAAAAATTTATTCAAATAAAACAGAAAATAATTTCTATAGATATGTACTTCACAGGCATCATCCTTGCTTATGTATAATAGCAAAACCCTACGACTTTACTAGCTATGTATAAAATGCAAGAACTTTCTTCATCATATTAAAAACGTAATACTAATTTGGGAAAACAAACTTTCGTATAATGTGTTTTTCAGATGTTTCTATTTGCCATTCTATTTATATTTAATTATAATCAAAACTGTTTGCTTAAAATGGAGGCAGTTATTTTTTTAAAGCAGTTGAATAAAGGTGTTAGAAACACTAAGCTGACACGAAAGAAAACTAAGTCTGTAAATTAAAAAATCGTATATCACTCATTAACATTAGTACTGAGCTCTGTTCCTAGTGTTTAGTTTGCGAACTAAACATTTTTCAACTACTAAGTTCATAGTCGTGTACTTCACACTATATGGTTAAGTTAAATTCAAGCCGTATTACAAGTTACAGTAGGCTGGATTGTTTGTTTTGTAAGTTATGCAAAGAAAGAGCAAAAATTAAAACTTTCCATTGAGTCGAAAGTAAGCTTTCGCCAACACGTGAGAAGAAGAATACTATGAAAAAAAAGGTAGGGTTTGCTTTTAAATTTTGAGGCTGGATACTGTTTTAAATAAAGCTAGAACTAGTACTAAGAATGTACAAGGGTATGCTTAAACACGTAAAAACCTTTTATTAGTATCGAAAGTAAGAGAAGGCTAACTAACGATGCTGTCGACTTATTAACACTTGTCATACAGTCAACACTCAGTAACAATCTGGTAAATTTAAATGTCTTACTTCTCCCTCAACAGATATTTTAAATAACTGCCAAACTCGGAAATTCGAAGTAATGGACGGACAACAGTGGTCTTTCGTATGATATACATTACAAGTTCCCTCTCAACCTGACCACATCATCGTAGTCGAGTCTTATATACAAAAGTATATAAATTTAAATATTACGTACATGTAGCCCTATGTAGCACATACAACTGTAATTTACTAATTATTCAGATCTATTAATGAAAGTTAGTTTATGAGAGGCGTCTGGAGAAATATGTGAACGGCCTTTAAAAACTTGTATTTTACACATATTTACAACATCTTCAAAGAAAACAACAAGTCATAGTTAAATCCTTTGTGTTCATACAAAAGTAGCAAACAAAAACAACTAAACTACTATCAAACTTCTATTTCCAACAAAACTTCTCTGTGTAGAGAAGACAGTGGCACTTGTTGCTATGATGTGTTATGTTTAGCTCCTGTAATCTCGTGTCGTTCGAGACTGCAAGAGATTCAATTGAATATAATTGTTTCACCATATCTGGTTTGTTGCTCTTAAGTATCACGTTTTGATGCCACTCTTGGATATAGCTGGAAAAAATAACATTAAGCATATATTTAAGAATATCTAAGTCAGTGGAAAATTATATTTTCGAACTTAAAACTCCCAAAATGAACAATTGCTTTGGAAACTAAAACTGCACGTATAATCACATACATAAATAAACATCATCTACAATTACATTGTATTATAAAATGCTAGCACCGCCATCTGTGAGCAAAATAATACAGTTCTTAATTAGTATGTATTTATTAGATTGATTATTTGTGTGACATTGTATAACTGATAATTATAACAATTTTTTCTTTATAGGTCCTGTACAGGTTTACATTAAGAGAAACGTAATTTATTCCGCAATGGACAAATTAGGAGGAATATGAAAAAAAACGGTCTCAGTTATCGTGATTGTTATCATAAATTTTAGTTCTATTGATTGTTTTGTTTTGTTTTTTTTT